TTCATCAGTGAAGAGCCTTATTTCAACAGTCACATCAATGAATACCAGCGCCAAAGCAATAAGGAAAAAATTATTGGAAAGACAAAGGGGGACCTTGATTTATACCAGCAACCAAGGTGTTATTCAATATTGATAAAGCAGTACCCTTAATTGTTTTATAACCGTGATCGAAATGAAATCATCGATGGAAAAAAACCACTATGAGCCTTTTTTCGTCTTCGTTTGTTTTGCATGGGCAATGAATTCTCTGAAAAAAAATTAGATAATAAATTAATAAAACATAGTGCAAGCCAATGTGCAGCGTAGATTCGAGTTCTATAGTCGCAAAAGAGCAAGTTGGAAATATGTAGCTATGAGAATAAAAGAAAAGGATGTACGACTATGAAGTTATGAGAATATGCAGATGAAAAGCCATCAAACTCTTGAATTGAGAGAACCTTCTGAGCTTCACCATTTAGTAAGAAAGAGGATAGACTCAACGATACAAACAATAAAATTGAACAATTACATCACACGCAGTCTGAAAACTATTCTCAACACCCAAAAACTCACGGAATTAGAGAAGAGAGATCGGGCGCCATATAGATAAACTTATGTTTGTAGTTTTTTGCTGACTCAAACTCCACATATTTGACATCGCGTCCTGCAGCTACTGCAGCATCCTGGAATAAAAAATCTATTTGGATAGAGCAAACCTGCTAGGGGTCAAATGTACCTTGAGCTTTCGTGCTAAAGCGACTGGAATCACGTGGTCATTTTCCGCATGCATCATAAGGATAGGACACGTTATGCTGTAACATGCATCATAATAAAACTCCTTAAATCTGTTGAAACAACGCACTTTCCAATACGTTTATCCGAGACCATATCAAGCCCGGCTTTTTTGAGAGGTTCCATCAGATACTTTTGCAACATCTCTTCAGACATCCATCGAAGAGGCTATAAGAGTAGTCGATTATTAGTTAAACGAAAATCAAGGAGTGGAAGTAAAGAGAGATAGGCATTTAACGCTTACGATGCCCATTACATTTCCCATCATGGCGTCTCTGAGGTTGTTGAAAGGAGACTCGAGCAC